TCAATGAAGACAATGACAAATGAATCTAGGTAATTTCAAAACACCCTATTCATTAGGTCCATAAATGCAGCTGGGGCATTTGCGAGACGAAAAGACATTACTAAGAACTCATAGTGACCATATATAGTTTGAAATACCAACTTTGTTATATATTCACCTCTCACCCTAAGTTGGTGATACTTCGATCTCAAGTCAATCTTCGAAAAGTATCTTTCCCCTTGGAGTTGATCAAAAAAGTCTTTCAATCCGAGAGAGAGGATACTTGTTCTTAATAGTGAGTTGGCGAAAATCAATACACATTCTTAAGGACCCGTCCTTCTTCCTCACAAACAAAACCAAAGCACCCCATGGAGAAATACTAGGTCTAATGAAGCCTTTGTCTAGTAAATCCTTGACTTGAGACTTCAACTCTTTCAATTTGGCCGGAGCCATCCAATAAGAAGGAGTTGAAATGAGATTTGTATCAGATAATAAGTCGATACCAAAATTAATTTCCTGTTCGAAAGAATACAGGGAAGATCATTAGGAATGACCTCCGAAAATTCAGTCACTACGGGGACAAACTCAATGTGAGGAATTTCGGAGTCTAAAATTTGGACCTACACTATATGATATAAACACCCCTTGGAGATCATTTTGCATGATTTCAAACAAGAGATGATACAGCCTCTAGGAATAGAATTTCCCCCCTTCTACTCCTTAACGGGATAATTTGGAAAGTTAAACATCACCACCCTTATTCAACAATCAATAGAGGCAAAGCAAGCATGCAACCAATCCATACCCCAAATTACATCAAAATTAAGCATATTAAGTTCTACTAGTTCAACATAAGAAACTCTACTGGGCAATATTATTGGATAATTTCTATACACATTTTTTGCAAAAATCGACTCACCCATCGGGGTAGACACTATAAAAGGTTCATGCAAAATATCGAGCAAAATGTCAAATTTTTTAGTTACTAGAGGAGTAACAAATGATAAAGTAGCACTAGGATCAATTAGGGCATACACATCAATAGATAAGACTTTCAACATACCCGTCACCATGTCGGGAGAAGTCTCTTGCTCACACCTAGAGCGGGCAGCATAGAAGCGGTTATTCTTTGGAGTCTCATTTGAACCACTTGCTTGTTTTGACCACTATTCTTTTTTTGACCATAATGTTAGCTAGATCCCTAACCTTGTACCCATTTTTACCAACCAAAACAATCATTACATTCATAGGTAAAATTTATAGGAAAATTATAACTTTTCATTACTTATACTTGGAGGTTTACATAGACCTCTACATACACATAACATATATACACACACACACACACGCGCACACACACACACACACACACACACACACACACACACACACACACACACACACACACACACACACACTATATATATATATATATATATATTAGTATAC